TCTAGAAAAAGTCCGAACTCAATAGTCAAACACTTTCGGGGAAAAAAAGCCGCGAAAAAATCCGCAATAATTATGCATCAACCTAATATTTCGTACTGGGGAACAGTACGTACTATTTCGAACGAGAAAAGTCAGTATTGATCAATGCCAATGACTTCGTCTTTTACTTTGTATTTGTGCTCACTATTCTGTCATTGTCAAAATAACTGTGAATTATGACCGCAATGTACCCTCACGAAAAGAACCCTATCATTCTTTTCTAATAACAGGAAAACTATCAATCTTTTCTAATAACAGGAAAACTTATGTCCTTAATTCTATCGCGAGCCCTTCACTTGACTTCCTCCCACATAAAAAACTTCTTGAGTTGAACAAGAACTGGAAGGAGAATCTTTAAAGTACACCTAGCTGACCTTAGATAGAACACCAATTCCACCTCTAATTTTCAGCTAAGCTGCTACACTATGCCGCCAAACCGGTGGAGGTGCTGAACTGCTCTTACGTTCCCGTACGTCATTAGGGGAAAGAAATGCGGGCCGCAATGCCCGTGCTTCGTGATAGCATCGCCTTATCGAACATCCTTTTTCTCATTGTTCCCATCTGTTCCACAACACCGACAACTACACCGTAGCAAGTAGGAATTGAATGTATTTAGGCTAAATTCAATTCTTTCTATTATTATTATTACTATTATTTGTCGGCTAATTCAACTCTTTCTATTCTCTTCTCCTTGAAAATATCTCTAGAAAATCTTGAAAAGTTTGCCGAATCTAATTCTTTCATAACCTTACCTTTTCACTCTCCAGATGTCTTCCTTAGGCATACAGCCTTCCTTTGACGCAAATTCGCTCACTCAAAAGAGCAAACATAATTAAACCAAGTATTGCAAGTATTCTTAATTATATCAGATGCATTTATTTATTCATTTGATATTGTTGTGAAATTGGTCACTAAAATTATGAATACATGTATTTTTATTTCATTTTCGTATCTGATATTCTGTCCCTAACTGAGGGAGTTATTCAAACAATTGGCCGATACGATACATGAAGGTGGAAAGGAGTTTGAAATATCTGATATTCTGTCCCTAACTGAGGGAGTTATTCAAACAATTGGCCGATACGATACATGAAGGTGGAAAGGAGTTTGAAATATTACATCGAAAGACATTAGCACAAGCAATATATCTGCGGACACGCGATTCGCTCACGAAAAAAAGCGAACTTGTAAATTTATGGGACCGAAAAATCCTGAATACTTAATGCTTCCCAGTTTGCCCTTAGCGTCTTCTCTAGGAGCAACGACAGCATTCTGCTCAGATCATTACCGGTTCCTACAGATTTGTAATTCTGTGACCGTTCCTCCATCGGGTCGCCGTCTGACAACAGGGATGATTTCATCGGACAGGTATTATGAGCATCTCCGTTATGTGATTCAATGGGCCACTCTTTAAAAATAAAGATTACCTGACTCTTAGTTGTTATTCCGACTCATTCGCTGTCCTTCTTTCTTATGAACTTATCACTTCAAGAAAGCCCCAAAGCCGCATTGGCTATGGATTTGAAATAAACAAATTTGTCGTAAATATAGGCTTTCATAGTGCTCCTTAAACCCTCTTCATTGCTAGAGATGGCTGCGCTGTTGCTCCACCGCTCTAGAGACAACAACGTCTTAGAGTTCATCTACCAGAATGTCTTGTTTTCATCCTTCAAGATTATTTCCGAATTGCTTTCTTGAGTCACTTTTCTCAACCATAACCCAATTATGCTTGGAAGAATAACATTCTTCGAAGGTGATGTACAAGATGATCGCATGGGCGATGTCAACCGCTCTAAAATTGGGGTTTCCCTTCATTCCTTGAGGTGCAAGATGCTTTGGAGCGCTAAGAAGTTACTAATATGTTCCGAAAAAGAGACTGACAACTGTGCTTCATTTCTGAATCATAAGCCCCTTCGTAGGTGGTACCTTTGGAATGTGTTTTCCTCTTGAAGTCACCTGTTACCGTGGTTATCCATCGCACTGTTTGGACTACTGGGTGCCTTCTTCCAGTCATTACTACTATTACAGCAACGTGATGAAGTGGTTAGAAGAACGAGGAAAAACTCATACTCATTTTGGCATTCTTATTCTTCAGCTTATTTTCGTTTCAACTGAATACTTCTTTAGGGAAGTCCCGTAGTATAAGTAAAGTTGGTTGGAGAAGCTGTTTACTAATTGAGCTTGCAAATACAACCGCTGCTGTCAGCGCACCGATTACTTGCACGGCTAGTAGGACTCAAGTTCAGCCAAAGAAATCCTTCTATTTCCTCAGTAGAAACTTTTTTCCGCAAATCAAATGAATATATTTTCTCATATTAGTTTATTACTATTAGCCACTTCCAGAAGTATGGAAGACGTAGTTAATCTGCCGACCAGGGTTTCGACACAAGGCCCTCACCTGCCCTGGGGTGTTCTTCTTACCACTGTTCAATCTCTTCTCCAAGCTGACTTGTTTCGATCACTTTTAGATAAAGTGAACAATACAATTGCTAATTTTTAATAGGAAATATGCTATCAGGTGAGAAAGATTGAGTCAAAAAAGAGGTATAGCCATGATCCTCCTCCAACAACATCGTTTACATACGTTACTCCTGAAAATGCTTACCAAGTAATTTAAAAAGACCATAGATAGATACCAAAGTTCGGTTAGGAGAAAGTGAGTTTTGACGTCATTCTGGTTAGAAATGATAAGAAGAAAGTGATGTAACACCTTCTCATTTGTCATCCATTAGCGTAAATGGATAAATGTGGTGTAATTATAATAATAGTACAATAATAAGTTGCATTATGTATAGTTGCTCTAGAACCGTGCAAATGGCTGTGCGAAGAAAAATTCGAGTGCAACGCGCTCATGTAATATTCGTGTCGTGCAAAACTTAGCTAATGAAAAACTAGGGCAAAAACTTGATAAATGACATTAATGTTGCCTAATATAACTAAGATTATTAATAATTCATCAAAAGGGAAACCGAATACTGTTAGGTGTTGGGAACAAGCATAAATCATCTAGCTCTTGATGTGCCCTGCAAGTTAAGTAACTAGGCATGGGCCCACAACCTAAACGGTTTGCGGGGATCGAGTCCCCTCTCATGCTCATTAGCTATGATGGGGAGGACTCTGCATTCCCAAATTACTTGACCTTCTAATATTATTGCAATGAGTGTCACTTCAAAAACATCAACAAGTCTACCGACCCTGAACCGTCACGACCTCTTACTTGGGCATTTGTCATTCCCATCAACTCTATAAAAGACTTATCAGTCATCTTACAACAATTCGAAAAAAATTTTCTTTACTGTCACAGAATACTGCGGGGTAGCAGAACAGAAAGGGCACTGCGAGAATATTTTGAAAACTTATTTTTATCATATTATTTTTATTTCATCAGAAAGGTGTTCCACTTTCACCTAGAGACCTTCTCAATGGGTAATGAAGGAGTATGGGTGCAAAAACCATATCTTTTTGAAGACAGGTGCTATTTATAATACCAGAACGTTGTTCCATTTTCATCCAAAGGCATTGCTAGGAAGGTTGAAGGTGCAAGAAACGTACATAGCAAAAAAGAGCGAAGATCATTCTTTCCTGATGGCAATTAGCCCGAAAAGAACGAAGTGCGGATAGGTTCTTTGTTACAGCTTCCATAACCCAAAGGCTTATCAATGATTCCTGCAGATGGCCCTCTGAGTCAGCTGCGACTCGATGATAAGGAACTGGTGCACCCAGAACAAACGCACCCTTTCAGAAGCACGCATATCACTTGTCAAGACTTTCGCTTAATGCCAAAAACGGCAACTAAGATTTTGTTGAATAGCTGCACTATAATGGAATGAACGAGGAAAAATATTTATATATAAGCTCAGATACCATCCGGAAATTGGATAAACAACAACAACCTACCAACTACTACGGGGTTTGGAACAACTGTACAGTAGCTTTAATCAGTATATTCATTGTACCTACTACTTTCAAAGTGAACTGCAAAGTAGTAGCACAGTAGGCTAGAAATAAATTGAATACCCATTTTTGGAATATTTGAAATATCACAATTTGGAAAGGTAGCCATGAAGCTGAGAAGAGGTAGTGCAGTGGCAAGTAGCGCACCCACGGTATGGTTCGCAGTTCGAATTCCGGATAGACACATTGCCCAAGCTAGTCTGGTTCCAATTAACTTCTCAGTTGATTAGGTGATACCAGACTCATCTAGGAGGATAGCAAACACTAATTTGTACATTGGCTGGCCACCGCAAATCATTGTATAGGCCATATGCGCAATGGAACGCTTCTACGATACTGAATGGAAGCCGAGTGCGGAGCGCATCACGAAAATTCTGCTAACTAGCTCCAAAGACTTTACCTGTCGTCTTTAGGAGAGAGGAGACAGGATGATTCATACCCAGATGCCTTCGTTTCACTTCAAATACATATATATACATGTTACATTTTTCACTATACATTTTTACATTTGAACGAATTTTAAGTGAATTCTACTTAATTTATTTCTTTCTTACTGAAACAAGGGGCGGTTCTAGCAAGTATTCATAGAGTACGCAAAAAATAAATGTCATTTTGAAAGCTCATTTCCAACATTTCAGAGAGCTAGCTGGAATGGTGACTGTAGCTTTGATTGTTGAATTAATTTCGACAGTACTCTCGTTACTATGCCTCCCAATCAACATCATATTCGTCTACGTTATTTTGAAAGAGAGGTACGTCATTATCTACAAATCCTAAGAATTGTTTAAGAGTAGGTACTGCAAAAGTGACCAGGTCACAGTTCCTGCAGCCGCGGTCCATCATCCAGAATTTGTCGATTCCTACTTTTGTATTTGAACCCGACCAGAATTTGACGAAGTACCCCATTTTTTGCAAAAACTGCTTCTAGTAAGGCCATCTCCTCTTTTTTTTGCATGTTCTGAACTGAATGAAGGATATTGGGAAATATCGCTGCGTAGGAGTTTGGCCTTACTAAAAGGGGACCCTTCAAAATTGCTCTGAGTATTTTTGAAATGTTTTTGTCGGGTAAGGGCCCGACTCCGCTTGGAAGTGACCACGTTGAGCTCATTTTAGTGTCCCTTTTCTGATTCTGAGTTTTTCCTATTGTAGCCGCCGTCCAACCACTCCATTTGCCTCTTCGTTCTTCCGGCTTTGCATACATCTCTCAATGGCAGACATCCTGATGTCCATATTTGCTACAATCTTCTTCAAATTTCCAATATTTGGTGTTTTCCCGGAAAGTTTCTATGAAGAAAATTGGTCCGTAGTACCAGTGGCAGGTGTCAATTATCTTGGGCATTCTCAAGCCATTGGAATCATATTTATTGCTGTAAACAGGTCAGTTGTTTTTGATGTTTTGAATTCAAATAACTTATTTAGTTTCATTCTATTGTAATTTTCGTTCTAAGCTTCGGTGTAAACTCAAACATGGCGCGATTACGACTGAAACCAAATATTTCAAGGATCTGAATCGAGATATGCAGCAAACTAGGAACACATCCTCAGCAGTTTCCAAAACAAGTTTGACGGTTATGGACTAAATGAGCTCCCTGATAAGCCCAGTTCCCTGGCTAGCTCCCTCTCTGAAATTTTGATCACCTCTCTTCATTATTCACAAGGAACAGACCTTTAAAAATTACATTGTCCATGGTAAATAGAAATGATTGAACTTTTTTCTAAGTACCCATTAAAAGTATACGTGTAATTTCTAGAGGTGAAGATGGTGTAGTGGCAAGGGGCGCATTGGTGTACAAGCATTCTCATCAAACCCCCAATCGATATCCGCCTAGACCAGCCAAGCCTTCCATTTCTGGGACGGTTAATTGGCACCAGACTGGTCTGTGAGTATAGTAGCATAACTGTACGTAGGATGGCCACCGCAAGTCATTGTATAGACCACATACGCCTTCAACACGCCACTACGATTCTGAATTAAGTCGAATGCGGAGCGCATACTCCAAACGGCATTGGTCGACACCAAAAGATTTTATCCTCCATCCTTCATAACTTGTAGAGGAGAACACACAGATTTATACTTTTTTACATACGATTACGACTTTCAAAAATTACGACTACCTTCTCAAACGACAAAATACGATTCTGTCTTGCCGGTTCCGCTGAACAAGTTTAACTCTACCATACATGGAAGCGACCTTGAAAAGGCACAGATTACCGTTTTGTTTCATAAAAATATCAGATTTTAGAGGGGCGGAGGTGGTGTAGTGGCAAGTGGCGCACTATACCACAAGCACGGTCAGGGGTTCGAATCTCNTTGTATAGGCCACATATGCACTCATTACGCCACTACGATTCTGAATGGAAGTCGAGTGCGGGGGTGCATCCCTCAGACGGGAGTGAGTAACGCCAAAAACTTTATCCTTTATCCTGACCAGATTCTAGAAGCAACATAAAATTTTATCATTCTATTACCGATATTTTTAGATTCACCGCCGTCTATTTCCCAGTGAGGCATAAGCAGCGATGGTGGAGACCACAGGTGAATCGTATGCCCCAGTAATGTTCTACACAGATGTAATGATTAAAAGATGAACTTGAATTAAACAAATTAGCAACGTGATGATCAATTTCAGGTAATAAGATCTCTAATGGTTATCCAATGGACCATTCCACTGATATTCATCATTCCATTATTTTTCACTGAATTCAACTTTGTTATGGATCGATCAACGGGCTCGGTTACCTTCTCATCAAAAGATGCTGTCTTCCACAAGGTTTTTTCTTCGTCTTCAGCTTTATGAACAGTAAATGCAAAACTAAACCGACTTCTGAATTAGCTATTATACTTCTCATAAGATCTAATACTGTTGTGTTCCTTCTACCGGCCCCGTAGGTAAAATTAATAACTATTTACTAGATTAGTCGTTAGCGATAGCCGCAAGTTCGCCGATAACAAGGGCACCCTATACTTGAAGGCACCGTTCACGATAAATTTGGGTAATCCAGATTATGAAGAAAAATGGAAGACAAGTTCGAAACTAGTACGACTGAGGTGAAGATACTGCGTGCATCGGTGTTTCCATAATGAAAAAAGGCCTCGAAAAAACGTTAAAAAGAGGGCTGGACGTGAATGAAACCGGAAAAATGAAGAAGGGTGGGGCGTCTGGACGAGCTAAAGAGTGTGTTTCACTGCGCGCGTGTGGGTCCTGGTGCGAATAACAGACAATGGTAAGCCAAAATTCATTCACTCGTAAGCATTAATAAACAAAAAACCCAAGTAACAGCAAAAGCAGCTCA